AGNTTGGGAAAATGGGAGTCGGTATATGTCTTGTTAATAATCCTCATTCACTAGAGTGGAGTCCCTTTATTGAAAATCAACTTGCTGTGGCAACCTCAAACAGACCAGGTCATACACCAATTTCTGGCATTATTTATTTACTCTCTTTTTTACCAAAGAACGAAATTGAAATTGAACATCAAATTCAGCTAAATGTTGGATGTCAACATATCCTTTGGTCACACAGAAACGAAAGTATTCTTCTCAGTTCCTGTCATGATAATGTATTAAGATTTTTTGATACACAGAATACAGATTGTATGTATAGAGAATGGTTCGATACTCAAAGTATCTCAAATTTGGATTGGGATAAAATCTCTCTAGAGTGGATAATAACAGGAGGAATAGATTCATCTATCAAGTTGTATCATGAAAATCAAGATTCCAATGAATCTCTTCAAACATTTCACACTAAAAAACATGAACTTGTCATTAAGGAACAAGAATCAAATTTGGAAAGTATTGATGATTTGCAGGCCCCTCCTATTCATGATATTCAGTGGAATACTCATTCTCCCATGCAATTTCTCACTACTGATAGAGATGGTTTTGTGTGCTTATGGGATTTGAGACAAGAGGAAGATCCTTGTGTTAAATCGTTTAGAATTCATAACAAGACATGTGCCTTAAAAATGGATTTGAATATATTTGATGAAAACTCTTTAGCTTTGGGATGTTTTGATAATTCATTAATGACCTATGATTTGAGAAATGTGAAGAAACCAAAATCTATTCTATCTAACATTCACTACTCCCAAATAACGTCAACACAATGGAGTCCACATACGCAACATTTAGTGGCTACAAGCTCCACTGATAGAACATTAAGGATATGGGACATGAGAGAATCAAATAACCTATTGCAATTCAATAATGATACCCCAAATGATTCATACGAGACTGAAGTTAGTTTTGGAGGGAGAGTGTCAAATTTTAAAAATCAAAAGATGGAAGATTGGGTGAATGATATTGCATGGAATATTCATGAAGTTGGTTTGATGGCTCTATGTTGTAATGATCAACTTGTAAAGGCCTACAATATTAAAGAAGATTAGAGGGGGGGGAGAGTGAAGTAAAATGTTGAGTGCACCGAAAAATATTCGGAAAATAATTTTCTAATCAACCACCTTCTGGTTATTATATTTATGAAATGCTGTATGTTGCAATTCTTTGGTTTGCATAGTTTCTTCGTACGTTCAATTTAACAGTTCCTAATTTATAAATTCCTGATTTATTTAATTCCTTAAAAATAATTTGGGAATCCAAGAAAAGAAAATTATGATCTTGAAATCCAATATCCAATAAAATATAAGTTTTCGTAATTGTATCATATTGAATGGTTCCTTGTGAGCTATAATAGATGGCAAATTCATTAAATTCATTTGTTACTTTTCTATTTGTTCAGAAAGATGAAAATACTTTTTAAGAAAATTGTTACAAAAAATGTATTACAACGAAGGTTTATTTTCTGACACAACGAAATCATGATTTCAACCTCTTGATTTTTGTAAGTGCCCTTATTACATGAATTAACACGATTTGAGAATAGCTATTTTTGATTTGTTACTCATATCTCAAGAACGAAAGTTAGCCATCCACTTCTCACATTGTGATGACATTAACAAGGGAAAAAAGATGGTTTAAAAAATTCGTACTGCACAACGAAGTAAGGTTTTAAAGGTTTCGTATTTTCAAATGTTGGAGTTTATGTAATTTAAGAGGATTTGAGGATAGCTATTTTTTTGTTTCCTCGTATTTATTTTTTTTGATACTTCCTAAATTGTGAATGTGTTTTAGCTCAAAATTTAATTCTGAAAATACCTTGTCTGCAATAACTGCTTCACAAAATCGAATAAGTACAAGATGGGGAACATATCAACGAGTGGTATAACGTATTCGAATCGATAAATATTTTAAAAACATTGTCTTCGGCTCTGAGAGTACCCATTTGCTTAAATTCTATAAATCAAGGTTACTCTCTTAAATTTTAATCAATATTAATAAAATTCATGTGTTGTTAGAAATGTTACTGATTGTGTGAATCATAATGTTGTATATTTATTTTAAAAACATATATCAACTTGGAACCATTCAGCGAAATCTCAACATTTACGCCTGGCCAATACCAACTTTCCGCCCCCTGTAGATAATGAATACATATAATGTGCTTTTGTAAATGATTTATTTGGTTTTATTTTATCTTAATATAATTTATAATCGGGTGGATAATGCTAGGGATAATGTGTTGTTTTTGTATACTAGTTAAAGCACAAGAATTATTTAATATACTATTAGAATTTAAGATGTTAAAATCAAAATGTGAAATATTTAATTCAATTAATGATTTTAATCCATTTAAATTATCAATAAATAATTTGATAATTAATAATAAAATTAATTTATAATCATTTAATGGATAAATAAATTTGAAATGACTATCGATACCACTT